TCTTTTTTTTTTTTTTTCCTCCTTTGCTTTTTCTGATATGTCTCCTGGGGTGAATTGACTTGCAGACTGGAAGACTTGCTACTTTACTTGTTTGGAATACTTTTGCTTTGTAATTTTAGCACTGTTGTCTGAAAGGAACTGTAGAATTCTCTCACTTTCAGGTCTCTGATCCTCTTGTTCCAGTTAAGTATCTCAGCAGATTCCATAAGTGCCGCTCCTTTTAAAATTCAGATGTTATCTTGTGCCATTTAATTTTTAGCTAACTCATGCTATGATTGCTCTGTTCAAGGCTATCTCAGTGAAAAACTTTCCTGTAATGTGCTCAGGATGTATCAAGTGTAGAATAAAGTATTGTTGACTTGGTGGATCGTTGAGGAGAGGGAGAAAAACAATTGGTAGTTCTTGTACTAGGAATATTTAGGCTGTATTGTTACTGCTAGTATGTTACCAACCTCTGTTACCTGTAAAACAGCATTCCCCTGTGGTGTTTGCCTTTATAGAAGCATTACAGAATTGTTTTTGAAGTCTGATGCTATTTTTAATAAATGCTGCTCAGCAAAACCTGTTTCCATTATTCTCTCAAAGATTATATGACCCAAATTACTTTCTGCTATTACTGCAGCCCGCTGTACTTCCTTCTCAGTTCCTAGCACATCTGTGACTTGAAAGAAAACCTCCTGAGTTTGTTAGTTGACCTGCAGCTAGAATCTCTTGCTAGTCTTCTAGAGATGTCTGACCTTGGTGACTGTAAGCTGTCAAGGAGAGCTTCTAGAAGTGTTGCCTATTAAACTGTCATCAGTCAGCTAAAATCTTAAATAGTGCCTTTCCAGAACTGGGGTCAAATCATTAGTTGCATGGTACTGCTTTTGAAAAGGAAATTGGGAATTAGTGGACTTCTAAAGATATTTACATGTAGATAACAGAATAGGAGCATTTATAGGTTCTGTGTTGGTGAAACATAGCTAATCTGCTTTTGAAAATCTAAGATCTGTTGTTTATTTCTTCCCTTTAAGATAAAATAAGGTATGCAAATATACCAGAGAGGAAAGGTATAACATCTTTCCAGTTACTTTTGATTTGTAGGTCTGCTGATGATTTTTTGCAGCTGTTTTTTTAATTTTTATTTGTTTCTTCATTAAAAAAAAGTAGTTTTAAGCAGCTACAGATGCTGGATTAATTTGACAGCCTCGCTGTGTCATTCTAGAGGTAGGGTTTTGTGGGATCTGGATTAAGTTCTCATTAGAACACAAAGGGTGAGAGGAAGATACTGGTGGAAAATGATGCATGTAAGATGGTAGCAAATATGGCAAATGTTGATTTACTTTGGCAGGGTATCAGGTTTGGTGGTTTCAGGTTGTCTTGTTGTGGTGTGATCTGGCCACTATTTGAGGATCAGAATAAGCGTCTGAAATACACTCTTTAAAAGTGGTTTGATCCTGCAGTTGTTTGGTGGCCCATAGGTGACTATATTACAGAAACACTGTTAAAATTGCTCAGTCCAGTTCAGAGATATTTTAGCTCAGTATCTGATGGTGTAGTTCCAGAAGGACAAGCTTTGAAGACACTTTGTTGTGATTTAAATTGAGCAGGCTTGTATCAGTCTTCAGTTGTTATTCAGAAAAAAGAAGTTTGAAAAGCTAAACAACTAAATGAGAATCTGAATGAACTTGAATGAAAAAAATGAAGAAAAAAAGACCGCAGTCCTTGGCAGTAGAGAACATTGGCCTCAGTATGACTAGAAATCACTGGTTGTCATCTGACCTGACACTTTTTGAAATGGGAGTTAAAAGATACACTTGTAGGTTTGGAGTAATTTTAACTCAGAATTAACTAATTTTAGCTAGGAATTAAGTGAGGATATTTCATTTGTGAAATAGGTGTTGAGTCCTGCAAAACTACAAACATGTCCATACAACTA